GAGGGAAATATCCAAGTTTTTGGGAGCCAAAGGCCTGTAGCGACCACATCTACACCTTAACCCAACTAAATAAAAAAGAATGGCAAGGGATAGGCCAACTTATCTATTGTTGGTGGACTTGACGAAAGCTTATGATACAATAACCCTATGTAGAGTATCTCAAGTATGTACTGGAAATCTCATCTATAAATATTACATTTGTGAAAGCAATACAACGATCTTCGATTAAAAATATAGATTAAAAACCAGTTCTTCGAGAATTTTAGGATAAATGAGTGACTAATGACCGGTTTCACCAACGACGAATAATAGTTTATTTGATGAATAAAGTTATTCGACCAATAAAACTGACATATTTGCATTTCACTAACGTCAAATAAGACTTATTTTATCTATTTATTAAATAAATATTTACTCTTCGAATAAATTGACAAGTTATTCTTGCTTTAAATATCTATAACAATGAAAATTCGTCAATTTATATTATCAAAACTATATTAAAACAATAAAAACATAATCAACTTAAATTTTATTCGACAAATAACTATTCATTGATTTATTTGGTGTTGGTGAAACCGGCCCTTAGACAAGGCTGCAGTACATCTCTAACACTCTTCAAAATCTGCCTGAGTGAGGCACTGAAGAAGGTCATGTTCTGGAATGGGTGTACCAATAAACGACGAAACAGCCCTATATACGCTTCATTTTGCGGATGATCAAGTACTCATCGCACAGGACCAGGAAGATCTGAAATTCATGACAAAGCGATTAATACAGAAATACGAGCGATTGGGACTACTACTAACTCAACAGAAACCAAATCCATGTGCATATGTGGAGCTAAACACGATGGACTAAACTTAGAAGATGGAAATGGAATTTCGTCATGTTCCGAATATATCTATTTAGGGGCAAAGATGGAGAGAGATGGACGCACTGAAACAGAAATCGAAGAAGGAATATGCGCACTAAACTCACTACTCTGGTCAAAAACTATCTCTAAGCAGATAAATATACAGTCATATAATAGCATTGTTGTACTTTATAGATGCGAAACCTGGCAACTCACTAAGCGAACGGAACAAAAACTTGTTCTGGAAATTATTTTTTGGTGAAGATCGGCAGGTATATCGAGAACGATGCACGTAACAAATGAAAGAATAAGACAAATCATAGAGAGAACAACCACCATCTTAGAAAAAGTACAGCAAAAACAGCTTATAGCTGTTACGGACAGGTATAAAGAATGACAGATCATCGCCTACCGAAGATAATATCTAATTGGCAGCCGCCTAAGCGAAAAAAAGAGTGAAACCGAAAACAACATGGCTTAATGGAGTCCAAAAGGCAGTGTCAGAAAGAGATCTACAACTAGGAGACTGGATCAATAAATGTTGAGACTTGGAACCGGAAGGCGTAGAGCGCTATAAACTGGACATTATATTATATATTTGTAGTGTTGTAGTGACTTCATTTCTACTCCAACGATCCCCTGTTCGCTTATATGATGATGCACTGGCATCATCATTGAACTTTAACTCGATATCCTCACCATGTTTCAACTTCTTCAAAGAGACGAACTAGTCTCTCGTGTTATTTTTCGTAGGTATACTTCAAAGTTCAATTAGCTAATACAAAATAAACAAAGAGTAATGTTCCTTACTCAATTTAAGGAATATAACATTGGTCTAATGCACCGAAATGGCGTTCCATGACAAAACACAACACGATGATTCTACGTTTAGTTCATCACTATGTAGTTCTTAAACAACCTTTGTTCGGTAATCATAGCAAAACTACGAAGTCGTTGGTGTGTTAGAGCGTATGGTAGCAGCGTAGAGTTAATGGACAATTGGCAGTTGTTAAATGTGAGGGTACGTAGGTATAACGTTTTCATTATTATCTTAGTCCCATAACAATAAAACCTATTACTCTAAATTTTATTCCAAATAGTTAAATTACAGATACGTCTGAACATTTGGAACTAAATGGAATATTTGAAGTTCGCGTCTTGTTGTTCTTTATTCCAAAATTTAGTCATCTGTTGTCTGTTCTGGTATTAGACTTACTTCATCTTGTCAGAGTGCGTCCTACTCTTTTTCCTTTCGATTTGTCTATACGTTCTGTTTATTGTTGGTTCTGTATTGTTATTCTCTTATTGAAAATCCACAAGGAAAACAATTCCTGTAGCTGGCTGTATACCACGTATCACAAAAAAGAGGTTAGTCTTCGTAAATGGGTATATTTATTTAAAAACCCTTAAAAGGGCTACATCAAAAAACAAACGTTTTCGGACTAAACAGTCCATCATCAGGTTTAAATTTTAAAATTGCTAGGTTAAAATGCCTGAGCCACCAAAATACATGGGTAAAAACCCTTTAAATTACATATAGTTGTAAAAGATTATACATCATGTTGTTAAAATACTGTGATGTTCAGTATTAAATTAAATATGACTTCAGGTAACATACATGGCTGAATTGAGTTCCAGAGCCGGAGAGTAAACCTCTTCACACGGAGAACAGCTGGTAACTCAGTTACCGGCTGTTCTAAATTCTAAAAATGTTCAGAAAATGTTTAAAATTCTAAAGGAGTTTCTACAGTCTGCTCTATAAGAGAGCCCAGAGATAATACGAACACACTTTCTTTGTTGTGCAAACACTTTATCGATATGACAAGAGTGACCCCAGGAGAGAATAGCATATGTCAGATGAGAATGAAAATTACTATGATAAGCTGTTAGAATAGTGTCCCTGGAAGTCACTTGTACAAGGTTCCTGAAGAGAAAAAGTTGTCGGGAAAGCTTTTTCGATAGATTAACTATATGTGGTTTCCAGGTTAATCCTGCATCCAAATATATCCCCAGAAACTTCGCTCCGGTTACACATTGTGGTAGAGCAACGTCTTCGATACAAGTGATATTTCTTAGAGTAAAATTAATCCTTTGTGATTTAGAGTTGTTCAAAGAGAGACGGTTAGTTAAAAACCAATTGAATAAGTTTTTTTTCAGATTTTTGGTAATCAAGGGTGTCGAATTCAGAAGGATGATAGCTTGCATAGAAAGTAGTGTCATCAGCAAATAAAACAGTGTTGACTGTTTCATTTTGAGAGTACACTAGATCATTAATATAGATAAGAAATAATACTGGACCCAAAACCGAGCCTTGAGGGACACCAAACAACAAAGATTGTTTTTGAGAATCACACTGGTTGAAGTGAACATATTGATCACGATTTGATAGATATGAATCAATTAGTTGCATAGCATCACTATGAAAATTATAATATAATAAGGAAGTTTTCTAAGTAGAATACTATGTGTGACACAATCGAAAGCCTTAGTAAGATCTAAAAACGATGCAAGAGTATCAAGATATTTCTTAAACCCTTCCAAAACATTGCTAGTGAAATTATCAATAGCTAAAGTTGTTGTTTTATTTTTTCGGAATCCGTACTGGTTTATGGCAAACAGTTTATTGGATTCAAAATATAGATTAATTTGATTTTTTAAAATTCGTTCATAAACTTTTGATAAGATGGGCAGCAAAGAAATGGGTCGATAATTGTTATAATCATCAATAGAGCCTTTATTCTTAAACAGAGGTACTACCTTTGCAGTTTTGAAAACTTGAGGATAAGTGTTACAAAATATTGATTGATTTATTAAAGTTGTTAGAGGTTGAACAATTATATCTTTAATTGTTTTAATAATTTTTGTGTTAAACCCATCAGGATCTTTGCTGTTACTATTTTTTATTTCTGTAATAGCTAAGTCAACTTCACTAAAGTTCACTGGCTGAAAACTAAAACATGGAATATTTTTTTGTGGTATATACTTTAAATAGTCATCAAGAGTTAGCTGAGGAACCTCAAGCTCATTTATTACTCTCTCAGCAGTTGAGCAGAAGTGGCTATTAAAACTATCTGCATTGGGTTTAGAATTATCAGTGAAGAAAACATTTTTATGTTTGTTACCATTAATAAGTTTCCACATAGCTTGTTGAGAGTTGCCAGAATTTTTTATAAACCTATCGTTTGCATTAATTTTTGCAAGCTTGATGGCTTCCCTGTACTCTTTTCTAAGTTTGGTAATGGTAGTTCTAGGAGCAGCAATGGGATCGTTTCTATTTATTGCTATAATAAATTGAAGTCTCTCACGCATTTTTCTCAAAGTGTCATTGAACCAGTTTACATTTTTACCTGGATTATTTTTATTTAGCAATTTAGATTTTTCTGGAAAAGAGTTATGGAATTTAATAACACATAAATTAGCATTTTAAATTTTAAATTAATATCCAAACTATCATTGTATACAAAATTAAAGTTGCAATTTAGCAAAATCTGGTTCATATTAAAGAGTCCTTCATCTGTGATAGGTCTATAACAAACTTTGGTTGCACAATTTGTGGATGAGTAAGCTATCTGAAAGGAAATACCTCTGTGGTCAGATGTGTGGGTGAGATCCACAGGTTTTGTGGTACCATCAATATTTGCGAAAAAATTATCAAGACATCTATTACCTCGAGTATTAAATTTAACGTTTTTTGTAATATTGTACGATCTAAAAAAATTACAGAGTTTTAAAGGTCTGATATCTATTTCATTAAAATGGACATTAAAGTCACCCGTAATTATAACAGGTTTATGAACATTAGTTAGTTGTATATATATATATATATATATATATATATATATATATATATATATATATATATATATATATATATATTGTTTAAGTTAATTGGTATAAAACAGTAGTGTCAAATCTGAATGCTTTTTTCATTTGCAAACGTTAACGTCACATAAGTTTAATTTAGATATACCTTTACGTACTCCTGAGTTCATCGAAAATGAGTTGAATTTGGAATGTTAATAAATTGGAGTATGAGGATACATTTAATGTAATGAGATTTTATGAATAACTTCTATAAGTATAGCTTAAAATCTTGTTGAATTTTTAACGTGTTTGTATATATAAAAATTATCATCAATGCTTTCAGTCCATGCTGCCGAGAGAATCAAGTTCAAAAGAAATTGACAGTGGTCTCTTGTCCGTCATCAGTTTTCCTGCTTTTGCAGTCGATGACCCTACACTTATAACCTATACTAGGGAATGTATTATTGAAAAACTACAAGGGAGATATGGTTTTAGAAGATTTTTAAGAGATGGCTACAGAACTCCAAAAGAAGTAAGTACTATAAGTAAATAAAATTAAATGAACAATGTAAAAGTATATTTTTAAAATAATCATTAAAAAAAATTTAGAAGGAACTATTACTGAACAAATACACAGTACCTAAATATATTGGAAAAGGTTGTTATTTATTTACTAGAAAGGTAAAATCGTGTTGCATTCATGAAGTAATTACTATTTTAATTGAAATAAGCCACAATTGAAGGTTAAAATAATTTTATTGACATTTAACAAAATACAAACATTAATAAATTAAACAAATTTTGTTTTTTGTTCTTCTTCTTCAGATGCAAATCCACTAATGGATGTTAGCGATCACATTTTCCATTAATTCTCTATTTCTTGCAATAAGTATCAGAGATTGTATGTCGTTAATCCCTGTCCATTGCCTTATGTTTCGGAGCCAGGACATTTTCTTGTTTCCCATTCCTCTCTTGCCTTCAATGTTTTTTGTTACTTGGTGAAAAATTCTTCTAATAATTTAATTTTATCTGGCTCATTTATATTGACAATTCAGGCATATATTATACATTTTAAAGTAGACGAATTAAAAATGATATAGCCAATATTGCTGAGTTGCGTTCCTGGGACGACTTTATTGTAACATAGTTCATTAGATTTCATAAAATCAACTTTAACTTGAGAATATCCGTCAGAAAAAATCATAGCATGTAATTCGTCTTTAAAAAGACAACCACATGCAATTATGATAGTAAAATTCTCCTGCTAGTGATTCCAGAGTAAATCATGAGGAAAAGACCAGGAAAAAACCTCATAATACTTTCCCGACATGGTAAGTATTTGGTGTTACATTTAGTTTACTCTCAATAAACATAAATAAACACCAAATTCTGATTTTAGATGTTTGTTATTTAAAAAACATAAATGATGTGTCCTCGTAATGTTTCTGACTTACTAATAGTGGTATTTTTCCTTTATTTACTTCCTGTTTTAATATTAGTAACCAAATCGTACTGCATTCTGCCGAGTAATTTGCGACACAATTGGTCTCATTTAGCATAATTAGAGCCACTTCTTTGAATTATGCTAAATGAGACCAATTGTGTCGCCAATTCATCTGCAGAATGCAGTAGGATCTAGTTACCCATATCCAAAAGAGGCAGTTAATAAAAGGAAAATACCACTATTAGCAAGTCAGTAACATATCGAGGATACATAATTTATGTATTTTAAATAACATACATATAAAATCAGAATTAGGTGTTTATTGATTGTTAATTTATTAATGTTTGTATTTTGGGAACGATTTCCGAAGTGGAGATTGAAACGTCAATAAACGTATTTTAACCCTTAATTGTGGCTTATTCCCATTAAAATAGTAATTACTTAAAATGCCACAAGAAAATAGTTTCAGAACAGCATTCATGAAGATTAAGTTTTAAGGCAAAATTCTTGAATAAAATGGAAATATGGATAATAAAAGCCATAACAAATAGTAGATTGTATGTAAGCATTACAATGTGAATTGTAGATTGTAGCTTTCAAAGGAGTCAATTGGCCCCATAGACCTTAAGATCTTTTGTGTATACCCTACATATATAATCAATCCAACAGATCTAGACTTCTAAGGAAGCCGACAATATGTTGTGTCGTTTTTTCTAAATGTTCGCCGAGTGCATGGTCCACATCTGAAAGAGAAATGACCAGTGAGAATATCCGTGATTACTCCGAGTTCGGTCTTCTGAAGCCACAATGTTTTTTCGTAGCGAGAAGATAGTAGCAACCTTTTTTCGTGTCTTTTTTATGACAATTTCTCCAATATACTACACTTACGTCCTTTTCCCATTTTCGGATATCCTCCATTATGTAAGTTTTTGGGTCACCGCAGAATGGCTCTGGCCCTATAAAAAGAGTATTTGCTCGTTCGTTACCAAGACCTTCGGCAATCTCATGACCAACAATGCCTTTATACCCTGGCATCCACAACAAATTTACTTTGTTGCGCCGTGTCTGTGCCTTAATGTACTGCTTGGAGTTCCAAACTATTATCGACTGATAAGGTGTAGATTTCAGAGCCTTCAATCTAGCTTGAATGTCTGAAGCAATAAACATTTTGACTAAATTGAAGGGTGGTTTTTTCACGCACTATTGAGCACAAAAATCGATTGCTAATAAATTTGATGGAAATATATAAGTATTTACGATGGCTATTGACAGTCTGCTGTTAGGATCAGTAACCTCTATCTCTACCCCTTCTTGTTTTTTGACCCTAACATCATAAAATGTGAGGTTTATTGTGATTTGTGCGATTTTGTTCTGTTAATTCAGACTCGCCAGTAATAGTATTTAGATTGAGTTCGAAATCTTGTTTAGGAGATATTATGTGTGTGTTGTTTCAGTCACATTCAGTACATGTTTGTGCAGAGGAGGAAGGTTCTGCATTACTTCTAAGCCTGCAGTGGGGCACGATCGCATTGCGCCCGTGACTACTACACAACCGCTTTTTTCATCTTTTTTATTACCTTTTGCTGCGTTTTTTTTGTTCCACCAAACCAGCGCAGCATCAGCATCATGGGTGTGACAACCGTTTTATATGATCAATAAATCATTTTAGGGTTCACACCCAATATTTGCCATAAAGCCTACCAAAGAGACCCTGTTGCTTTAGTGACGATATTGGAGAAGTGAGGTGATTTATATTTATGTTTTCGATCTAGTGTAACTCCGAGATACTTAATCTGATGTTTAATGGTTAATTTACTTCTATTTAAGAATAAGCAGAGTGCTGTTTTGTTAGGATTTACTAAAAGTCCTTCTATCGAATACCAAGTAGTTACTAGATTTAAGGCACCTTGCATGCAATCAGCAATAATACTGTCATGCCTACCTCTAACTACTATAACTAGATCGTCTGCGTAACCCAGAGCACGAAATCCTTCTCTGTTGAGCTTTGCTAAAAGCTCGTTAACCACTGTCAACCACAATAGAGGTAATAAGACGTCTCTTAAGGTGGTATACCTTTTTGTACTGTAGCAACGTTAATGGACTCAAATGAGATGGTATCAATTGCCCTCTCTTTGTCTATAAACGCACACCATACCACTTCTTTTAATGAGTTTTTGGAGGTTTTTAGAGAATGCAAAACATCTTTTGTGGATTTGCCTGGTTGATAGGCAAATTGTTGATAAGTGTTAACTGAAATTAAACAAGTATGATTTTCATACTCTTTAGACGAAAGGGAGTTAGGCTAATTGACCCGTTAGACTCTTCGATGGTCTTGATGATATGTATGTAGATTCTGTAGCTGACCAAGCTCAGTCCTTAATTCATTTTCAATAAATATTCAAAGATATCCTATGTTCTGTTCTTTGATTTCCGTAAACTCGCCGTTTGCTTTTAAGCAGTCCAATGCCGTTCGAGTTATCTCTCTAGATAATTTTTTAAATGCTCATTGCGGAGGATAAATTGTAGATCCTTTAGCAGATCTACCTCTTCAAAGTTTTCCTTTTAGACATTCATAACTCGGTTTTATATTTTATTAAAGCCTTCTTGTAGTCCTCTCATTTACCTGAGCTTTTGGCTCTGTTGAAGTCTCTGCGTGAACTAGCCTTTATTTTTCCTAATTCTATGTTCCTCCACAGCTCATATTTATCAACAACTTTGCAGCTCCTCTGCGATTTCAATCGTATAATCAACGCCCTCAACATCTGACCTTAATGTTTTATTGTATGAACACCAGTCAGTCTGGTTCGGTATTCGACAGAACTGGACTTGCTTACGCTCCGCCTCAACCTCGAAATACAGACATGTCAGTTTTGAATTATATTTGTAGTAAAGCAACTAGTTGGGTGATACACTATCTCTTTCCTAGTTGCAGTTATAAAAGTGGGTTTGTTTATAATATGCACTTAACGTCATTAGTTGGGAATTTCCGCTGTTGCAAGCCTTTGTTCTTCTACCATATAGCCACTTTTCTTTAAAGCCTCTACAGATCTAACGTCCACTTATAGGATCATTTCTATCGTATGGTTTTTGTCGACTCATCTTAGAATTCGCCAATTCTTAGTATCGAGACCATCATTATGAGTTTTTAAGAATTTGAGAATCGTTGGTGTGGGGGTTATATCAGAAAGAAAAGTTCCAAAGATCTTGGTATGAGGAATGTTGTTATCCTCTGTGAATCTGAGTAAGATATTCTGGTGGGCTGCATCTCCTTAATTGTAGTTTTAGTCATTCAACTGTGGCTTTATCACCTCAAGACAGCAGCATCCAGTCTAGTCTAAACTGTAGGTTGATAAATTTAGGCTTTATACCTATGAATACATCTTAACTGTTTTGTCCAGATGCCATTTATTTTTTTACTATTACTTGTTCCATTGAATTCTCTGGATAACTTTAAGACAGTATTCCTACACCTATGGTGCTTACCGCCTATACATAGGATGAATTATTTTCGCCCGTCATTGCTTCCTCGATTCCAATGTCTTTCGGTTTAATCATTTTTGGTTTTTGTGGCTTTTGGATGTGCTTCAACGCCTGCTGTAGAACTTTATTTCAATCAACTTAAGCCTTGTTTTAACAGGTTCTTAACAGGTCCGCGCTGTCCCAATTAAATATCTCGATTGACCTCTTTTAGTTTACGTTGAGCTCCGTTGTTTTCGTGACTCCTCTTTGTCTCCGGTACTGTGGCCAGGAATAGCATCCTGTTTCACTACTGACTTAGGGGGATTTTTTCTGTGGTTCTGATCTTCTTGGTAGGTTAACTAAGAGAAGCCTACACATCGGTAAGCACTTCCTCAACAGCCACCGACTTCAGTATGTACAGAGGGGAACACGGCAGTGAAATCCGGCGACCAACTTCGGATCTCAGTCTCGTCATTCTCTCTGTAATGGCTATCGGTCTTAATCACCTTACAGATTCAGCGACTACGACCGAGCATGAAGAGCCTCTCTACTACGACAAATGGTAGAGGGGCTATCTGAACGGTACAATGAAAATACAACGGAGAATAATTGAAATATCCAACATGATGTAAGCCTATGTAATACTGATTTATTCGTAAGAACATCATCAACAAAAGTGGTAGTTACAACAATTTTGTGTGGACTAATCATACAAACATCACTGGTGCCATACATGAGGACCAGTCTTCCAGTTAAACTTTGGTGAGATGATACCAAAACTCATCTTCACTAAAGAAGTTCACTGGGCTAATCAGATCAGGGGCCCTTGGACAATCAAATTTAGCGAATGCTACAGCCTGGGACACCACTCTACAGTTTTCCAGGATGAAGTATTTTTACTGACAGTGTCATTATCACAAAGAAACTTACTCTACAATATAGGTAGGGCGAATGAACGCAAATTAACGGTGATGCAATTTCTATTTTTATTGGGAATAAGCCACAATTTTAGTTTAAAATAAGTTTATTTTTTGTCGTTTTAATTTCCACTTAGGAAATCGTTCTCAAAATACAAAAACCTTTAGTCCTTTTTTGTTATTATTATTATGCTCTTTATTATTTTACTAGCTACTGTGAATAGGGCTCTCTATATTACATTATACTAAAAATATTTGAAAACTTTTTTTGTTTAAGGTATAAATGTTTTAACTAAAAAGTAGGATTTATATTACAATATTTATTATAGGATCCTAGAAGACTTTATTATGAACCTTGGGAGCTTAGAATGTTTGAAAATATTGAATGTGAATGGCCTCTATTCTTCTGTTACATGATCCTGGATAATTGTTTCAAAGGAAATAAAGATGGTGCTACTCAATACACAAAGCAATTGGAAGAGGTGAGTGTTTTTTGTTTAAAGAATTAAACCATCTAGTTACTGTAAAGGTATATTGTTATGATAGGTTTTTTTTGTCTATAACTACGGCAGACGTGAATAAATTAAATTATTAAATGATCAAATGGATTATCGACTAAAATGATTGGTGGTAACTGTCCGGTGGAAAACGGATAATTGAAAAAGATTTTTTACGTCAAATGAAATTAATCTGGAGTTGTTAGGTAATTGAAAATGTTGTATTTTATTAACTAGTTCTATTGTATTTTTTATGATAAATTTAGGTGAAAATTTATTGTGTTCTAAAATAATCTCTAACAGTTTTTTTGAAATTTTATATGACGGAGCTGTCCGTCCACACAAATTCCAACACAACATAAACTGGCAGCTTATCATAGTATGTTACATAGATTAACAGAAATTCCGATGTCAAAACACAACTTTGAGACAGAATTAAATATAATTAAGCAAATAGCAGTAAACAACGGATACAACGAACAAACAATTAATAAAATGTTAAATCAAAAACTACACAAGAAAGCCCTAAAATTAGTATTTCCACCACCAGAGAAAAAACCCAGTACCTTCTGCTCGATTACATATACAGGCAAAATAACAAAAATTGCCAAACACATAAAAAAGAAAGGAATAACACCAGCTTTACGAACAAATAACAACCTAGGCAAATATATTAAAAATAATAAGAGCCAAAATAAAAAACACTTAAATAGTGGTGTGTACAAACTTCAATGTGGCGACTGCCCAAAAACTTACATCGGTCAAACTGGAGGAAACTTTGATAAACGAATAGCAGACCATAAAAGGGCTTTCAAGAATAGAAAAACAGATTCGACATACGCACTTCACCTTCTAGATCATAATCATTATTTTAATGACAAATTTAAAATTCTTCACATTCAAAATAAAGGCCTTAAGCTATCTTTGTTAGAATCTATGGAAATCAACAAATTAAAAAACACAGATATAATTCTGAATGACCAACTTGAGACAAACAGTTCTCCCCTCCTCAACCTATTTCATTAGAGACTATGAATTTGTAAACCCAAGCCAAAAATAGATCACTTGAGAAAGGCAATCAGCCGAAACAGCTGTAGTGATAAGATTTAAAATAAATTTTGTGGAAGTTTGAAAACAAAGTTTTCAGTGTTTTATTGTTACATAAAATGAATATCCATCAAGTAACGGTCGAATCCATCAATTATTTAATAATGAAATAAAAATAAATGTTTCAAATACATTATTAATACATGTTGCTTGTTCGACGTTTTGAAACAGAATGTCTTTTCCAACAGGAGTAGGGACGTCGTCAGATCATTTAGGTTTTAACACAAGCCACCCCCTTTGAACGCCATAAGGGGGTTCAAAACCCCAAATGTATAAAGTCCACAAGTCAAGATTGAGCTGAAATTGTAAAGTTTATCAAAACACAAAAAAAACTTAAGTTGATTTTCATTCGGTAGCATACATAACTTCAAAACCGGACGTTTGTATACGCCAGAGTTTGTTTTTAACGTTACACCGTGTATAAACCCCGATAACAATGTAATTTTATAAAATTCTAATCAACCTAATTCACCACCCATATAGAGGATGTTTCAATTGGATCTGGAGTTATAGCTAATAATCATGGTGGATATGGCAAAATCATGTAAACTAACATAATTTAGGGATAAAACTCCAATACCGTTTTCACTACTAATTTTATTATTTTTGTAGATTATGATTCGTACAGAGGATGGATTAAAATTAGTACCAGAACTATATTCAGTGCCAGCTGAATTTGTTGCTGCTGAATACAAGGAGCCAGGAAGCCAAGAGAGGATACCTTTAGGTCTATGTCCATTCCGTTGGGCACAGTCTCTCTATATTGTAGGAAAATTACTCCAGGAGGTAAGTTTTAGACATAAAAACCAAAAACGAATAATAATGTTATATGAATATTTAATTATTTTTAATTATACTACTTTTTTGTCTTTGCCGTTTGTAATTTACATCTTTTTGGGTATTCGATATTTATATTTTACTCGTTCAGAGTTAATATTCAAAATGCAATTAATTTAAATCTTCCTCTTGAAACAAATGATAATATTGAGGAAGCAGTCCATCACCTTACATCAATAATTCAACAGCCAGCTTGGAGAGCAACTCCAGATCTAAATCAGAGTAATAACTGTGCACTATACCCATTACATATAAAAATCTCAATCAACGAATAGAGAAAACAGTGGCAAACTTACAGATCTCCTAAGGATAAAACTGAACTGAATATTACTACTCTTTTGCTTAAAAAAAACTACACAAATACAAAGATCGAGGCATAAATGAATTTCTTGAAAGTCTCACTGCGACGGATGACACAAATTGCTCTATTTGGTGATTGGTCCAAGGCCGATGAAGATAAAGCACAAGCATTTTCAAATCATCTCAGCCAAGTTTTTTAAATCTCGCTCCAGAACTATCTCAATGCACCCTACCAGATGTAACGTCCTATAGAAAATATCAAAATGAATTAAATTAAAGATTTAGTTAAACATCTCAATATTAAAAAAGATCCAGGGTATGATTTAATATCGAGACAAATCTGCAAAAATTTACCCGAAGAAGGATTTCAGTTGATTATGTACATATTTAACGCTATACTAAAGTTAGGGTATTTTCCGTTTCTATGGAAAATGGTGCAAATTATTTTAACACCGAAACCAAATAACGAACTATCATCCTATCGTCCAAGCTATACTGCTATATTCAAGAAAGGAAATAAACTTTTGATTGCAATAATTATCGTCCAATCAGCCAGGTTCCTATTGTCGGCGAAGTCATGGAATCCATTATATCGGAAGCTATGTCTGATTTTCTCCTTCAAGAAAATGCCATCCCTTACCAACTGCATGGCTTTATCAAAAGTCGCTTAACGATCACAAACTTACTTCATTGTGTAAATGATTGGTTATCATCTTTAAACACTCGCATCCTGTTGATGCAGTCTACTTAGACTTCCCCAAAGCTTTCGACCGTGTTCCAAAACGTCAATTATCGGCTAAATTGGATCCCTATAGTATCCACGGAAAGTTGAAAATTTGGATTCAAGATTTTCTATCCGACAGATACTTGGGGGTTCGTGTTGGGGAAGACTACTCACTAGATAAGCCAGTCAAGAATGGAGTCCCACAAGGATCAGTACTTGGATCGCTATTTTTTGGATCCATTAAGGTTTCTATTTTTACGCTGGTGATACGAAATTATACGTGAATCCAACTATTAACCAACATGTTCGTCAACACGATGTTGACGCAATATTCGAATGGTCCTCAGAATGATTACTACCGCTTAACATTGAAAAATGCGTTGTTCTACATATTAGCAAAAATAACTCACTACTACCGTACTTTATGAATGGACATCTCTTAAACTTAGTAACCTCACACAACGACCTCGGATTGATAATTTGATTATTATATGGTATATTATAATTGATAATTAATATGGTCTAATAATGGTCTGATCGCATAGTGTCGGTATGTAAACGTGCAAACTCGAAACTGTTTTTGATCCGTAAATGTTTTACACGTATATCTCTAACCTCTGTTAGTAAACTTTACTTAATATAAGTCAGACCTATTCTTGAGTTTTCTGGGCCAGTATGGAGTCCAGATCTCAGTCGCGATCAAATCGTACTTGAAAATGTTCAGCGTAAAGCCACCAGACTGGTATACGGCCGTGTAAGACGTACTTATGAAGATAGACTATCCATGGCTCATCTTACGATACTCGAGCAGCGACTTCTTCCAAGTGACTTAATTATGTCATTTTCTATTTTAAAATATAATTTGGAGCACCTAAACACCATATTCGCTTTAAATCAAAACGAAAGATGCCATCGTTACGAATTAAACTTACTTTACTTTATCGTGTCCGGACATTCATAAAATTTCGGCCCAGTATCGGGCTACGTCGGTTCCATCTTTGTTGGCGAGCCACAAATCTTCAAGGGTACATCGATGAGGACAGTTTCTGCATGTAATAAGATGTTCCATATTCTGTGTTTCTCCACAGTCACAGTTCACATCATCTTGGTCTATTTTTCCCCATTTTGCCATGTTTGATTTTACTGTAGCAACCCCCGTTCTTATCCTATTCAAGGTTTTCCACGTTTTAAAGTCTAGGGTCTGGTCGGTCCATTGAATCTGGGGAAGTGAAAAATACTCAGGCGATTCATCCTGCACTGTTCCAAGGAAGCTTTTCCTAGATTTTAGTCGCTTTCGTGGTGTTCGAGCTTTGTATAGGGCATGCCGATCGTCCGCGATCTGTTTAATTTTCTCTATGTGTTCTGCAGCGCCTCTGCGTGTTGAGGGTTCTGCAAAACCCGCTGCTCTATATAGATTTGAAAGTGGCGTTGATTTCATGCACCCCGTTACTATCCTGCATGTCTCATTTAGCGCAGTATCAACTTGTTTGGTGTGGGCAGATCTGCTCCAAACGGGGCACGCATATTCAGCAGTTGAGAAACACAGTGCCTGAGCCGTTGTTCTTAAAACTCCAGGACGTGCGCCCCATTTACTTCCCGTTAGCTTTCTGAGTATGCTGTTTCTAGTTGTTACTTTCCCTCTTGTTTTTATGCAATGTTGTCTGTAGGTGAGGGACCGGTCCAGAGTTACTCCAAGATATATAGGTTGATTTGTGTGTTCTAATGCATTACCATTCCACACAATTTGGAGTTTTCGCTTGGCTTCCTTTGTGCGAAGGTGGAAAGCGCAGACTTGGGTTTTAGAGGGATTGGGTCTCAGAGAATTCTGCAGGTAGTACGCTGTCATTGTTTTTAAGGCAGTTTCGAGTTTCTCCTCCACTTCTTCAAAACTATTTCCTTGAGCACATATTCCAAGATCGTCAGCATAGAGGAAGTGCTTGGTTTCGGTCGGTGTAGGTTGGTCGTTTGTGTATATATTGAAGAGCATTGGTGCTAAATCACTTCCCTGTGGGAGGCCGTTTTTTTGAACTCTCCACCTACTTACTTTACCCTCCAGCATAACGAAAAGACGTCTATTTTGCAGTAAGGAATATACGACTTTTCCCATTGAGAGTGTCGTATAATTTACAGAGCAATGTTTTGTGCCTTACTGTGCCATAGGCTGTTGTCAGATCTACAAAAGCAGCCCCTGTTATAAGTTTTTCTTCAAAGCCCTCTTCAATGTGTTCTGTTAATGCGAGGACTTGACCGGTGCAAGATTTGCCAGGTCTGGATCCTCCTTGTTGTGGGATGAGGTGCTTGTCGACATTTTTTTCTATTCTGGCGAGTATGAGTCTCTCGTATAGTTTAAAAAAGTGACACAATAGCGAAATAGGTCTGTAGCTACTGGGGTCTTCTGGATCCTTTCCTGGTTTTAACAAGGCTATTACTTTAGATTTCCTCCATGATTTTGGAATTTTGCAGGTTTTGCAGCACATGTTATAAAATTGCAAGATCCAGTTTTTTGCTCCTTGGCCTAAATGCTTTATTTGTTCACTGCATATATCATCCACACCTGCAGCTTTCCCGTTTTTTAACCTGTTCAGACCGTCGTGGAGTACTTTTAGTGTAAAAGGAGTTCCTAGGTGGTTTGTCTCCGAATCCAATCTTCTCCTAGTGTTTGGGTCCTTATATCGGTTAGTAGTTCGTCCATTCGTAGCGACTTGGTTTGCTGTAACCTTGCAAGGTGGTTTATGTTCTTTTGGATCACCGCTGAGTTTTTTTTACAAGGTTCCATGCTATTTTGCTACTATGTGTCATGTCCATTTTTTCCAGGGTCCCAATCCACTTTTCCTGTCTGGCTTGACTTAGCTGTTGGAGTAGTACTGCTCCGCAGTCAACCATTTCTTGGCTAAAAGGGTCAGTGGAATAGAGAGTTTCGTATGTTCTCATTAGTTCTTTGGACTCGCTGTACATCCCGGGAACATATTGTTGTCTACATCCTCTAGGGATAGTTTTTCTAGACAGATTTTTGAGTACCTCTACGAATTTTTCGTAGTTCTCTACTTTTGGTTCAAGGCGTAGTAGTACAAAATCTAGCATGTCTGCATACTTTTGCCAGTTTGCCTTTTTGAAGTTAAATCTCCTTCTGAATGGAATAGCTTGTGGTCTGACAATTGGGAAGATATTTATACCAATTGGTCTATGCTGAGTTTTTGGTATGGGGCCATATACTACTTCGGTACATCGGTCTTCAAGATTGTTGCTTGAAAAACAGATATCCGGGTTATATCCTCTTTTCCAAACTTTGCTATGAAAAGATGGCGGAAGTTTAGGATCATGGATTAACGTGAGGCCACTCGTTTCGGCCCATGCTTCTACTGCGTCTCCATTTGCGTCCGAATCTGCATAGCCCCAGAGTAAACTGTGACTGTTAAAGTCTCCCAGTATAAGCTGATTGGCTTGTGATTGAAAATTAGTTGGGGGTAAAAATATAAAAGGCTGGTTTGGGGGCTTGTATACCGAGGTTATTGTGCATTTTCCGATCTCAGCGTTTATTATCTCTATACTGTGTACATTTGTTGTTTCCACAGATGAGACTATGGTTTGAGTTCTCACAAATACCGCGCTCCCATGCTTATTGTGTGGTATCTCCGCAATCAGTTTCATACCAGAGACTTTCGGTCTCGCTGCAGTTAGGTCTCTGTGGGTTTCCTTGATACACAATACCTCACATTTCGTGTTCTTGTAGAATTCTGATAAGATATCTTGTTTGGCTGTAGTGATGCCCTCGATATTTATGCTCGCTACTGTCAGTGTTGGCTCTGAGAAGAACCGTTGTGGCTTGATCTTTGCCATCGGATTTGGTTTGGTCCGGTGTTGGGAGGATTAGCCGTCTACTAGAAGACGTTTCCAGGGGACGCCGTCAATAGTGTTTACTTTGCAGTTGATGTAGCACTATTGATCTCGTGGAGGCTCCTTCCTTGTCCCCCAGGACGAATTAAAGAGGGAATAGATTACTGCAAAGTACAGGGTAAACTTCTTGTCAAACAGAATATTTATTATCTGGAACAACTCGGATTAAGACATTATATCGGCAACTAGTGTTAACATCTTTAAAAATAAACTTTATAGCTTTTTATTTCATTTATAGGACTGCGTTATTTTAGGATGGCATGATTTATTTATTGTTTCACTATTTTTGTATGATGTACTTAATTGTAACTTTATAATTGGTAATTGGTATTAGTTTTATAATATCTTTCTTTGTTTTTTGGGTATAATAGAAGCTCGCTCCTCCTCCCTTATTTGTTATTATAATAATAAGTTTTAACAATATTTTTTAGAAAATTAAACAAAAGTGTATTCGACACAGCAAAAAGAAAATAATATTGATTATTTTCATATAGGAGCAAAAGTAAATAGCTAGTGAAAAGATTAATCTCTGAAATGCAACTAAAATGTAATTAGTATTTGACCAAATAGTGTGTGAATTAGATATACTTATATGAACAAATTTATCGTACCGACGAAATAAAAAAATATAGACACTGAAATAAATCGAATGAAAGAAGAAATAAATAAAAGCTTACATCCGTCCAATCATCTGTGATTCGAATGGCCTATTTTGGTTTTGAGCTGTTGGACTGCCTGACTCCAACATTGGAATTAGCTTATTATTCTTTCAATTTATTTACATTATTTCGAGTCGTGCTAAACTAACCTACTGCAATATAACATTGACATATTAACGACCGAAATATCAACAATTAACATTGAATGTGTGTTTCTTCCGACCGTATATTTATATCATGGTTTGACATTGATCTTGTTTATTGTTTTAGGTTGCGTAACGCGCAGTTCCATAATATAGATAATTATTATTAATTAAGTATTTTTAAATATTTTTTCTTACCTACCCAAATTGTTTCTACTCTATACTACAGTTTAAAATTCGATTGTTTTTTAGGGGTTCTTGGCACCAGGAGAACTAGATCCTTTAAATAGACGACTGGGTTCAGAAAAGAAACCAGATGTAGTGGTACAAGTTGTAATTCTAGCAGAAGATTTGGAAATAAAAGAAAGACTTGCTGAACATGACATACGAGTTCAAACCATAGCTGAAGTTGCACCAATCGAAGTCCAGCCTGCTAGGGTCCTTTCTCATCTGTATACATACTTAGGTAAAATATATTGTTATAAAGTTTAGTGTGCTAACAATCAGAATTCAGATTAATCAGAGACTTCGTAGGCTAGTTTGTTGTCTTTAGAATTAGCATTGTCATTCTATTAGTGATTGATTGCGCTGATTCCCTTATGACTTTTTCTAGCACTATGTTGAATAGGAGACTTGTTAAGGTGTCCATGCTGATTTTCGAATGCTGGGTTCCCCTGCCGCTCTTGTGATTGTTGTTCTAATGACAGTTTATGTCAATGAGCAATGAATGTGACCAGATCCTCTTTGGCTTTCTTATGTCTCTATGACTTTTAATACCTTATATTTATCATTTCGTGGGTATTGGCCAAGTATGACACTGTTCACTCTTTACTAGATCTAGTAGTTCTCTTTGGATATTAGCTCTTCTTAGTAATTCATTCATTTGTAAGTTGGTCCAGCCATGGAATGCTGAGTAACCTTTAAGATACTACATTTCGAAAACTTTCACATGCCTCAGATATTTTACTTTAAAAGACCAGGTCTAACTTTCTTAAATGAGGATGGACCATGTTTAGTATTTTAAGACCCGGATTCATACGTTTAAAGGAACTTAACGGGTACATAGTTATTATTAAATTTACCGAAAGCAATTTTAGCCAAGAACACCAAACATGGCAAGTCTGGAAATATCTCAACAGACTGGGGACTGGAACAGCGAGATCTAGGGACACTCTCTACAAATGGGTTTACCTAGTTCCGTCGTTAAATTCATTTGGTCTAGACAGCAGAGATCGCCGTATATTAAACAATATCTATTACGAACAAACTGCAGCTGTTAGAGTTGGGGATCAGCTAACAGAGGACATAGAGATAAAAAGGGGTGTGCGACATAGATGTATATTGTCCCCATTATTGTTCAATACATATTCAGAGCAGATTATGAACCTAGCGCTAACGGACATAGACGAGGGAGTATTTATAAACGAAGAACTATTGAACAACATAAGATACGGTGATGATACTGTCATTTTTGCAGATAGCCTTGAAGGTCTGCAGACACTTGTCTATAGGGTGGCAGAAGTAAGTAACAGTTTTGAGCTTGATTTTAACATCGAAAAACCAAATACATGGTTATAAACAAAAATAGGATACAACCTGGCCAATTACTAGTTAACCAACAACCTATAACACAAATCACCAACATTTGTTATATGGGTGCAAACTTCATGAACAGTGGGACCAATCGACGGAAATTAAGATAAGGATCGAGAAGGCAAGATCAGCTTTCATCAAAATGAAAAAAATCTTTAACAGCCACGATATAAAATTGGAAATAAAGTTCGTTTACTAAAATGCTGCGTATTCTCCGTTCTTTTATATGGCGTGGAGTCATGGACGGTAACTGAAGCATCACTGAAGAGACTCGAAGCATTTGAGATGTGGGGCTATAGACGCATATTGAGGATTTTCTGGATAGACAGAGTTACCAACGAAGAAGTACAACATAGAATGGGTAAAAAGCGCGAACTAGTCGTAACCATAAATCGTTGCAAACTGGAATACCTGGGCTATATAATGCGCAATGAACAACGATATGACCTACTTCGGACCATACTTCAAGGTAAGGTGCATGGGAAAAGAGGTCCAGGGCGAAGAAGAATATCCTGGCTGCATAACCTGCGAAAATGGTTTAACTTAACCACTACCGGACTTTTCAGGGCAGCAGTCAACAAAGTCAGAATAGCCATGTAACATCCGTAACGGATAGGCATCATCAGAAGAAGAAGTTTCCTCGGACCTGTGTGTTTGCGGCGCGGTGCAGTCAACTGCGCACACAACCCTCTCATCCAGCATAGCCTCGATGAACTTATATCTGCTACTCCAAATGCAACTGACGTCGCGGTTTTTTTTTGGCTAAGCAAGCTTAAATTTATATTCCGTGTATGTGTTTGTTTTCCTCATGTTTTATGTTTCTTTTTGCTCGATTATGCATATAATAATTTATAATGTAAATTCTACGAATATCAGTTAAATTTTGGTCCATTCTGAAACTGGCTGTATCCCCATCCAGCATGTAGACAGAGGCTACATTTAGACCTTCTGTATTTGGCAAACTGATGCTCTAAAAAGACTTGTGGTTGTTGTGCTGAACCACCTACGTAGATTTTCAGCAAAGAAATCGTTCGCCTTCCTGGTCCTCGTTATCCTTCTACTTTTACTTGTAGAATTAATTGCAGCAACCTGTATCCTTAGCTATTCCTGATGATGTGACCGAGGTTTTCGATTTTGGCTGTTTTATTGTGGTTAACAATTCATTTCCTTTTGTGCATTCTTCATAAAACACCATAGTAACGTGTTCGGTATAGGATATCTTCAGGATTCTACGATAAAGCCACATTTCGAAAGCCTCAATTTTTTTGCAAGTAGCGTCTGTGAGAGTCTACGACTCCGTACAATAGTATAGGAAAGATATAACATCGTAGTAACCTGATTTTATGGGTACTGATAAATCATGGCATTTGAATAGCTTAGCCATTTTTTTAGAGCTTATTACAGAGTTTTCTTTTATTTTATAGTTTAGATCGAATATACCAATATACCATTTGCTATCTGACGCTATGGGTATTTTAATAGCATGATATGGAGGTATCTTATTGAATTATTTCTATTGGAGTTCAACAAGAATTGGAAGTTCATTCGCTTATTAATATTCGGATGGATCACATACATAAGAGGGCTGGCATATGAAGAACGGGGTCGAAATTCAGGCTACTGAAATTACTTCGAAACGCTCCGATTATTTTTCAGACGGAACTGCACACTGTTTACTTATTTATTTATTAGATTAATGACTGTGCTTATATGTAAATCTTGATTTTGTGGTATTCTGGAAATATTTTGTAGTATTATTACAATGTCACCAACACATAATTCGCCGTTATGGGTTAACATCATCGTATAGATTTTACAAAGTATAAATCTTAAAACATGTTTGTGTGATATTCTAGATAAGATGTGTTAGAGAGCCGATTTTATTTAAGAAATAATATTTTTCCCTAATTTATAAAATAACCTGACCTTTTTTTATTATATTTAGTTATTCCAACTGTTTTAGGGCGCAACAAAAAACTTGGACTCTCAGGTAGGAAATCTAGAGATGTCGGTATTCTTTCCACTAGCAAGCTATATTCTCTTGGCGACAAAATATTTGCCTTTACGCCTCAGGTAAGTAACTATTGCATTAGTATTCTATGAAATTTAATATTTTAAGGTTCTTAAACTACTGCAAGAGTTAAAGGATATTTTTAATTCACCATATACAACAAATTGCGAAACTTCAAAAAATATTTGTTTAATGTTGCTTTTGAGTTGAATCTTGCACAAAGGACATGGTGATCGACCGAGGTCTCGCAATTAAGTTCCAAAACTGAATTTTTTAGATTCTCCTCTCAATGCACTCAACTTTTGTATTATTACACCGCTCCATACGAATCTTCTACTGTGCGAAACAGTGCTGCAGGTCATTTTTCGATAGGAATCTTTCTAATGACTCTTGGCGGGTTTCTTTCAAACAGTATTGTATTTTTTGGGAACAGGTAGAAGTCAACTGTGATCTGGTATTTTTGTCAAATAGTCGTTGAGAGAGTGCACATTGTGAGCTGGTGCTTTCTTGTCACATTTCGAGCCTATTTTTGCAAATCTTTTCTTTGAGTCTTATAATGTTAATGTCTGACTATAATAAATAATGTTAACTGTCTGACTTTCCTCATAATTAGTTGTTTATGCAAAATTTGGACGTTTCTTTGTTAATGTTCACATTTTCAACAATCACTCTACTCGTAATACTTAATCGACGTTTTGAACCATTTTGGCCAATTTTGTGAACGTTCACGGTGCGCTCGTCATCTTCAACATTCTCCCTACCTTGCTCAACACCGCAAATCATTACTTGCAAACTTTGATAGCTTTCTGGTGCGGGCTTCTCTAATTTGAACAAAATCTCGTATACTTAAGTATTCTTCTTCTTGTTCTAGTTCCATGACCGTTGGATGTCTTGTTGGCTACCATATTAGTTATCGTGACTTAATTGACAGCGGCTCTAGATAGTGATGTAGTCGATTTTCCGTACCATTGTTTTAGATTTTTCAGCCATGATGATCTTCTTCTACCAGGACTACGTTTACCTTGGATCTTTTCCTGAATAATCAGATGTAAAATTTCATATTTTTCAGGGTGTCTCATAATCCGACCGAACTATTTCAGCTTGCGTCTCTTTATTTTGTTAACTTGAGGATTAGGATATTTTAAAATCGAGATAATAAAAATTGTCCCAAAAACTCAACTAAATGTAAACTAAAATCTAAAAAGTGGTTACAGGTTTCGTTTGCATTTATTCACCATGTGATGCATTAAATGTTCTAATTCAAATTTCCTCTTGTTATCCGAAAGCGTACATTTATATTCAGACAATATTCTTTTAACATTACAAGATATAATTAGCGCAAATTTTAATATATTGGTTTTTGTGCACTGTTTACTAATTCAAACACTGTTCAGTTTTTCTACAACAATGTTGTTTTGTTGATGGCTGAAAGTCGTTCTTATTTCCTCTATGATTTCAACGCTTTTTATTAAACTTAATCCTTTTTTTTAAGTAATTTAATTTCTTTTGGCAAACAACTTAAATTATTTTTAATACACTCACCGGCAAAATTAACGGAATACCTTAAAATTGGGACATGTTAAATGTCTCGAATTTCCTAAATCTGTTGTTCCATTTTAGGGATTTTTTTACTATGTTATAGTTATATTATTTAAGAATATCGATGTAATAATATTGTTGCTAGACAGGTCAATGTCATTTTATACCGGGTGTAATAATCATACTGTGTTTTTTCCTTAAAGTTCGGAACACCCTGTGAAATATTCTAGCATATGTAAAATATTGAAATTAAAACTCAATTATAGCCTCAGGCTTTCTTAACATTTTCTTTTTTGATTCATTTGCTTATTAAATTATTGAAATAAATTCAACATTTCAACAACATTCAAAACAACAAACACGTTGAGATCTATTTTGTCCAAAACCAAACCTAACAATGAACAAGAAAGGACAAAGAATTGCATTTATAAAATACCTTGTGAATGCGATCAGTTTTATTTAGGTGAATCATCAAGGCCATTAAATGTTAGAATAAGTGAACATCAATCTTATATTAAAAATAGAGAATTTGATAGATCTCAAATATGTAAACACGCATGGGATAATGAACATAGAGTTCAATGGAATAATTCAAATATAGTCCTAAAAGAAACGGATGGTAAAAAAAGAAAAATCAAAGAAGCGGCTCTAATTATGCTAAATGAGGCCAATTGTGTCGCCAATTCCTCGGCAGAATGTAGTAGGATCTGGTTACCAATATTGAAAGAGGAAGTTATTAATAAGAAAATACCAGTATTAGTAAGTCAGTAACATATAGAGGATACATCATTTATGTTTTTTTAAATAACGTAACATAAAATCAGAATTTTGATGTTTGTTGAAGGTAAACTAAATTCACGAACAAATACTTACAATGTCGGGATAGTATTATGAGGTTTTTTTCCTGGTTTTTCCCTCATAATTTACTATGGAATCACTAACGGGAGAATTTTACTGTCATCATGTCATGTGTTTGTCTTTTTAAAGACGAATTACATGCTATGATTTTTTCTGACGGATATTCTCGAGTTAAAGTTGATTTCATGTAATCGAATGAACTATCTTATAAGTAAAGTCGTCCCAGGAGCGCAACTCAACAATATTGGCAATATCATTTTAAAGTCGTCTACTTTAAAATGCATAATGTATGTCTGAATTGTCAATATAAATGAGTCAGATAAAATTAAATTATCAGAAGAATTTTTTCACTATGTAACAAAAAACAAAATTTGTTTAATTTACTATTTGTATTTTGAGAACGATTTCCGAATTGGAAATTGAAACGTCAATAAATGTATTTTTATCTTTAATGTGGCTTATTCCCAGTTATAAATAGTAATTAATTTACAATGCCACAAGAAAATAGCTTCAGAACAATATCATTTGCTTATGTTTGATAATAAAAAAATTAGGTACGTTTTCCATCAATAAATCCTCATTTTCTGCTTAGTTTAATAAACAAGGCTAAAGTAGGCTATGAGAAGTTAACAATTTAATACACACTCCGGCAAATTTAAAGGAACAAGTTATTAATGCAATATTTCTTTATATTTGTATTTTATAGACTATATCTTCATAGCTTTGAATGCTCCTTGTCACAAGAAAATCTTAGATTAGAAAATCTTAGAAATGTCAAAGTAATTTGTTTATTTGTCTTGTGTTTTACATTTTACAGTCGTTCTGTCTGTTGATAACAAGTACGAACTTGTATTTAATTGATAAGTTAATTTGTTTGAGTTTGTTGGATGTGATTTTTCTTTTGATTTGTTCTAATCAGTGGTGTTCTTATTGCAAGGAGTAAGTAAGAATGGGTGATTTAATACCTACTGATATTGCTAGGGCCATAACAATGGTCGAACGTACAGAGCAGTTGCTGGAATATTTGGTAAATCACCATTAACTATCTATCGTTGTGTAAGTCGTTGGAGACAAACCGGGGAGTATGTAAGAAGGGGACAACGGCAGTTCAAACCAAAAACCTGTTGCAAAATGTTCGTGGAACTACCATAAGTGAGCACACAGTAAGAAGGAGACTTAAAGAAGCCGGTCTCAAGTTAGGTGTGCCAATAAAAGCTCCCAGACTCCAGAGACACCATCGTTTAGCACGACTACAATTTGGTCGAGTACATCAAAATTGGAATGATAACCACTGGAGTCAAGTTCTTTTTACGGACGAGAGCCGTTTGTGTGTAAATTACATCTTCTTCTTCTTCAGATGCAAATCCACTAATGGATGTTAGCGATCACATTTTCCATTAACTCTCTATTTCTTGCAATATGTATCAGAGATTGTATGTCGTTAATCTCTGTCCATTGCCTTATGTTTCGGAGCCAGGACATTTTCTTGCGCCCCATTCCTCTTTTGCCTTCAATTTTACCCTCGATTATAAGTTGGAGGAACTGGTATTTTTCATTTCGCATGATGTGACCTAGATACGCTGTTTTCCTTTTCTTGATGGTTTCGAAAAGTTGGCGTTCTTGGTTTATTCTTTTAAGGACATCTATATTTGTGATTTTCGCTGTCCATGGTATTTTTAGGATACGGCGATAAAGCCACATTTCGAAAGCTTCCAATCTGTTTATATCAAAATGTAAATTACATCGATGGTAGAGAAAGATTGTAGCGACGCCAAGGAGAACGAAATGCCCCTTTGAATTTTACTACGACCGTATCTTTGATGGAGGTTCAATTATGGTGTGGGGCGGTATATGTTTGGGAGCAAGAAAAGAGTTAGTGGTGATTGATGATGGAGCATTAACAGCAGATAGGTATATCAGAGATATTGTCCAAGACCATGTGGTACCTTTTGCACCATATATTAGCGAAAATTTTATTTTAATGAAGGATAATGCGCGCCCACACGTCACAGGCTGTATAAGAGATTTCTTATTACAAGTGGGTATAACAACGATGAATTGGCCAGCTTCCTCCCCAGACCTGAACCCGATAGAGTATGTGTGGGAGATGCTAGGCAGGAAACTTAGGGCACGGGTTCCTGCTATTCAAAACAGAGAGGAAGTCAGAATTGCTTTGATTGAGGAATGGGAGAGACTGCCTCAACAACTGATCGATAGCGTTAACAGAAGTACGAGAAGACGAATAACTGCAGTTGTAAGGGCTCGTGGGGGAAACACACGCTATTATAGCCAAAAAAATACATAAAAAACCAATTTAAGTTCAAACTGTACAATAAAGTTAATGTGTTAAAAATCCGTATTATGTTAGAGTCTGACATCTTTGTGTTTTATTTCTTCTTAAACAGGTTTCATATTGTACTACCATTGTAATATAAATTCAAAATACTTCACCAACAGTCGTATTATGATATTATCTAAACAATATTAATAATATAAAGACTACATAGAAAACACTCAGATTTTATGGTTATTCCTTTAAATATGCCGGTGAAACTAAGCAGGAAATTAGCATTTATTGATGAAAAATATGGCTAGTTGTTAAAGTACCTAACTTTTTTATTATCCAACACAAGCAAATGAATCAAAAAAGAAAATGTTAAGAAAG